ATTTTACACTTACAGGAAAGTTACTAAAATTACACAGAGACTTCCTTTAATATCCTTCACTTAGTTTTCTCTAACATTCACATCTTGCATAACTGTAATACACTGATCAAAATGTGGGCACGATACTATTAATGAACACAGACTTTATTCAAATTCTGCTGGTTCTTCTATTAATCATCCCTTTCTGTTCTGGGATCACCCGCGGTACCTTCGGTCTTCGGGGCTCCTCGCTGTGCTCCTCTCCTCCCTGTGCCCTGACCTTGGTCCTTCAGAAGAGTGCTGGCCACTTATTTTGTAGCACGTCCCTCTCTGGCCTTGTCTACTGTTTCTTCAGGATTCCACTGCGGTTATTCATTTTAGGTGTGGCTGGCTGCCTATTGCAGAAATAATGAGTCTTCCTGAGAGTCACACGACAGGGCTGTCTTGTTCTTGTTGACCTTGGTCATCCGGCTAAGGTGTCATCTGCTGGGCCCACTTAGGATCGTTCCGTTCCCTTCACAATGAATAAACATTATTAGTTTATTAGTGAGATTGTTCTCTCATGGAAAAGCTATCCTTTCTTTCCCTTTCTTCTATCCTTTCTCTCACCTGTGATCTTTCTTTCCCCCGAGTGATTCTCCCCACTTTCTAACTCTCAGAAACTTCAATCTGCCCAAGATCCCACTGGACGATGATGTCATAATCGCGATTGAATCATTTCTCAGTTGCTACATGTTATTTATCCATTTCCCCTAATTACAAGCAGCCCTACAGCGAGTATACTTGTATTTGTTCTTTCTAGGAGTACTTTTGAAGGTGGATCCCCAGCACAGCTGAAACAAGGGCTATGCGCTTTTCATTTCTAATAGACACTGTCAAACTGCCCCTCACCGAGTTTGGTGCGAGATAGCAGTACTATCCACAGTACTGTCCACAGTACTCACTCACTCAGCTTAGCCCCACGCAGGCTGTGCAGAGGGAAGACACCGAGGTAAAGAAGCCCCTCTGCCTCTCCCGAGGCCCTTACAATCCTAGCACCCCTTTTGTTTCCTTATTTTCTTTCTTGTCTCGTCTTCATAGTGAAATTACACTCCCTGGTGCACTGAGCTTAGAACAATGTACTTTTGATGTAACTCAGGTACAACTGAATTCAGCGATTTCCATATTTGCAGGGTTGTGCGGCCATAATAACCCTTAGGTCATTCCAGGACATTTTCTTTACTCCAAACGAGAAAGCCCACCTCCCCTGGCAGCCGCTCGGCCTCTCAGGCCTCTAGCACAAGGCAGCCAGGAATCTTTTTCTTTCTCTGTGAATTTGTCTATCCTGGACATTTCCTACAAAAGGAATCGCTTCTTTCTTCTAAGTATAATCCCCGCCAAGGTTCATCTATATTATAACCTGAGTCATTTAATTTCATTCCTTTTTAGGGCTGTGTAATAATCCACTGCATAGATGTTTTTGTTCAATGGGCACATAGGTTGTTTACACTTTTTGGCTATTGTGAATAATTCTGAGGATCCATGTACCAGTTTTTGTGAGGTCATGTTTTCATTTCTCATGGGTGTGTCCCCAGGAGTAAAAGTTCTGGGTTGTGTGATACCTCTGACCTTTTACAGAATTGCCAAACTGTTCCAAAGTGGCTGCTCCACTGGCCATTTCCACTGGCAATGTATGAGATTCCAATTTCCCCACTTCCTGGAGAACCCTTGTCATTGTGAGTGTCCTTCTGCTTCTAGCTGTCCTACCGGGTACAGAGTGGCATCTCATTGAGGCTTTGATTTCATCTCCCTGATCGTGTACGATGTTGAACCTTTTCTGTGCTTCCTGGCCATTTGAAGATCATCTTTGGAGAAATGTCTTTTCAGATTTTGCCCACTTTTAAATTTTTTTTTTATTATTGTTGAGTTTTAGGAGTTCTTCATGTTTTGGGTACTAGATCTTTGTCAGATATATGATTTCCTTTTTTCTTTTTTTTTGGTTCTGGAAATCAAACTCAGGACCTTATGCCAGACAGGCATGGTGCCACCGAGCTAAATCCCCAGCCCCTGTGAGATATATGATTTGCAAATAGTTTCTTCCAATCTCTGGGTTGTCTTTTCGCTTTCTTAATACTGTTCTTTGAACCACAAATATTTTTAATTTTGATGAATTCCAGTGTATCATATAATTTTTTTTCTGTTGTTGCTTTTGCTTTTGGTATACTAAGAAATCATTAACTAATCTGAGGTCATGAAGGCTTATGATCAATGCTTTTTATGTCTTTTAAAAAATTTATTTTTTTGGCATTTGAGGGATCTAACCCAGGGCCTTGCTCATGCTAAACAGGCACTCTGGCTGCACTCCCAGCCCCAGTAGAGTTATTTTTTAATATAACTTGTTTCTGACCACTGTTCATGGGTATTGCGATCCAGCATTCCTTCACCTGCATACATTTCATGCGACAAAACTTTCCCTCTTTCCCTCTGCATTCTGTTTCATTAAAACTAGTGCCAGTGAAAACTCACTGAATTGATCTTGTAACTCACTTATTGGCTGGGAATTGCGTTTTAGAAAATCATTGTTGAAAAGTTTACAAAGTACTCTGGAGTACCTGCCCTCATTTTTCCTTCAAGGCAGATGTGCAAGGCCGTCACCACTGTGTCTAAGGCCCAGAGGTCAAGTGACTTCCGGGCCCATGGTCCCATGGGAGAGCTGGCGTTTGGACCAAAGCCCATGATTTCCGTCCATGAGCTCAAATTCCCTGCCATGTTTCCTGTACCTTCACCTGTTGGAGAATCCCCAGGTTAAAGATGTGGATTTCCAGGCAGAGATTCTGCCTCTGTGGATCTCTGCAGAGTTTTTAAGCAGCTCCTTCTCGACAGGAAATAGGCAGGGTTGCCGTGGGCTGTGGAATGCAGACTCTGTCCTGGAGTCTGAAGGAGCTGCCCTGCACCAGCCTCAGGGAAGGCGGGGGACAGGAATGCAGCCAGTCCCGGCAGCCCTCTGGGGCTCACACTCCACCGAGCAGGGTTGTGAGCGGATGGGATTGGATTTGTAGAGGCTGCTGGCTACGGCCAGTGGGCTGGAGCCAAAGAACAGTGACATTTTGTTTGCTTGAGAGGTGTTTGTCCATTTGCTTAAATGTTGAGCCAACACACACAAATGGAGAGATTTCATGTAATAATTTGATTGCTGGCATTTCTTGAAAAGATCTGATGTCCCTGGGCATGGGTTACTGCTTGACCGAGACAGCCTGGGGTTGTCCTGGGCCTGCACAAGCTCAGTTCACCTGGGTCCCCACCGCTGCCTAGGACCCCCACCCTCTGCCCATCCGCAGGCCGCTTGGGGCTGTGGCACTGGAGTTGGTCCTGGGGCTCCCTCACGTCCAGCTGCCCTGCTGCTCCACCCTGAGGCATTGGGCTTCGTGGGTGGACACCGCTTCCCTCTCTTTGTCCTCTCCCCCTTGCCTTATATTCCTGAGGGACATAGCCATGGTGATGCGGAAAGACCGCAGGGCCGGAGTTAGATGGCCCCGGGTTCCAGGGCCAGCCTGTCGTTTCCTTGGGCTAGTTAGGGCGACTCCCTGTTAAGTGACCTCAGTTACTTCATCTCTAGGAGATAGGGGTCACGAGTCACCCTCCCGAGGTGTGCCCTGAGTCTCTGTCACGGGCCCTGGCCCAGGTCCCCGAGGGGGCTTGGCTTCTGCCCCCGGGCACCCTCTCTGTGCCCTGGAAATGGTGGGTTTATCCAGTTCCGGGGTTCAGGGTTAGGCTACGACAGGCCCAAGGTGCAGTCTCCCACCTCAGCGTGGCAGGTAAATTCACCTACTCGGGCCCTCTGTCACTCTCAGCTGGGTTGGAAAGAGGGGTGCCTTTTTGGGCTTCCTCAAATAGTAGTTTCTCTGGCAGTGGTTGTGAGGGGCCTGGCCCTGCCCTGTAGTTCACCTTACAGAAATGGAAAGCAAGATCACAGCCCGGGGAGGTCAAGGTCAAGCCTCCATGGGGGAGATTTTTAGAGGAACAGAAAGGGGCAAGAGATACTGAGGGTGAAGCCACCTTGGAAATTGCCTCCCAGGTCTTTAGAAGTGTATGCAAATCACATGCAAATCTCACATATTTAAATCTGCCTGGATGGGACCCTGGGGGAAAATTTGGGTGGAGGTCACAGAATCCCAGGGAGTTTGTGAGGAAGGGTGAGCAGGAGAGGATGGTGGGAGGCTGTGTGGGTGCTGGGCAGGGGCTGGGCTAAGAGGGGACCAGGCACCGGTGGGCGGGATGGAGTTGGCTGCAGCCCCTGCCTGTGTCCTAACCTCTCCTGTTCACCGCACGCCAGTCACTCCCCAGCCACCCCTGGGTTTGGAGAAACAGCGTGAGACAGCTGGCCTTGGCCCCAGCCCGACCTTGGTTCTTTCCAGCTGTGGGGCGGGTTCCAAAGCCTCTGCTTTCTCCCCTGTAGAATGGGCCCGGCCCAGTGCTCTGTCACGGGCTCTTGTGACCGTGGCCATCAGGCAGGGTGGAGGAAGCGCTCAGCTGGCAAGAGTCAAAGGCTTGTCCCGGCTCCATCTCCACCCAGCTGGTCAGCTGTCCCCTCAGTTCCCCCAGCTCTGGTGTAGATGCCGCAATGACTCCCAGTTCCCCGGCCACCAGGGACAGAGGCAGCTGTGACTCAGGCCCGCATCAGCTCTTGGGAGGTCTCCAGCCTCCTCCCCAGGGTCTGAACTGAGGGTTCTCCGGATCCCAGAGAGGTTGTGTGACCCGACAGCCAGCTGGAGCCCCAAGTGTCCAGACTGAGGGTCCCACTGTCCAGCACAGGACGGCGGGCTGGGTTCCCCTTTGGCTGGAGCACATCCTGCAGCACTGGCTGGCAAGTGGCTGCCAGCTGCCTGTAGGGTCACCATGTCACTGGCCCATGGCGGCTGGGAGGTCCCATCGAGGGGTGCCGCTTGCTGGGGGGGCTGGGGGGCTTCCTGGCTCTGCCCACCTCCCCCTTCCCTCTCCCCTCCCTGCTTTGCGGCAGCACTGGCTGAAGTGGCTGCCAGCTGCCTGTAGGGTCACCATGTCACTGGCCCATGGCGGCTGGGAGGTCCCATCGAGGGGTGCCGCTTGCTGGGGGGGCTGGGGGGCTTCCTGGCTCTGCCCACCTCCCCCTTCCCTCTCCCCTCCCTGCTTTGCGGCAGTGTTTGGGGAGATTATGCAGAGTTGACGTTGGAATATGAATGAGGCGGCGGCAGCAGCCAAATATTGGAATTAGGGAGAGCGGGAGCCCAGGCCGGGATCCAGGAGCAGCTGGGACATCTGTGCCTTGGCTCTTCCAGATGCCTGACCCCGTGCCCACCTGGAACCGCCTGGTCCCTGAGCCACAGAGCAGCCCCGCCGCAGCCAAGCTCTGGTCCCTGGCTTGCCGCGGCGAGGAGCCCTGTGGAACTTGGCTTCCATCTCGGCTTCTGCTGGGGTTTGAGAAGTGGGGCTGGGGGGGCCGACTCCTCCTAAAGACGCACCCTACACTGAATTTCCTGGAGTCCCACACCTGGCGCTTTTCTAGGGGACCGGTCCACGGTTGCCAAAGTATGTTCCATGGAACCCGTGTTTTGCAGACTTTTAATGCATTCTCCATGGCCATATGTTTGAGAAATGTGTTCAACAGCAAGGGTGCAGGACGTCTCAGAACGCTTAACAATTTAATGGTCATAGTGATTCATCCAAAGGAGCAGAGGTACAATGTGCTTCCTTCCAAACTCGTTTGACAAGTGCCCTCTGCCTCAGTTGGTATCTCTTGGATACTGCTGCTGGCAGAGCTGTCTCCTCTCGCGGCTGTTGGTACCAGTGTGTGGGTCTGGCAGGAAGTGGACCCCTGGTGCACCTGCCTTTCCAGCAGAGTGGACGCGGCCATGCGATGACCACCTTAAGCCCTGCCTCTTCTCTGAACTCACCTGATGAGTGCAGACCGGCTGGCAGCTTTGTGCTAATCCGCCCGCAGGGTTTCTGCGCTTTCTTCTGCAGGAAGAGCCGTGGGCGAGGTGGTGTGGATCCTCCTGCTGCCCTGGCCTTGTCCCTTGGGCTTGCTGAGCAATGGGTAGGAGGCGTTGGGTTCCAAGGTGCTTGACTTCTGAGCCCCGGCTCTGCCACGGGTGCCTGGCATGGCCTAGGGTGCCGAAGAGGCAGGGGCCAGAGGCACTTTTTGAACCGGCTCTTGGGGGACCCCGAGCCCATGACCATCTGCTCTTCGGTGCCCCAGCCCTGTCCCAGGCTCCATTCAGGCCAGCTATGCCCAGCCTGCTCTCCAGGGGGCGCCTCGGAGTGCGACTGTCCTGCCACGTCGGGATCCAGGGGCAGCCTCCTCTTCCTCCCTGCTTTCTTCGTAGGCAGCTTCTGGGGCTTAGCTTTGCTTCCACCCCCAGGAATGAGCAGAATCAGGAGAAGAAAAAGGCCAGGTTGGAGAAAAACGTGGCCGCTTCCTTGGGAGCCCCTGAGATGCCAAGTCTTAAACCCGTTGGCCTAGGATCCCTCCCCTCCAGCTCTGGCAGAAAGTGACTCTGCGGAGTCCGAAGCATTACCCAGTGGCCGCCCTCCCCTGTCCCCAGAGGGCTCTCCGTCTCCCTGGATGACTCTCTCACAGCTTCCTATGGTGTCTCCCCAGAGTCCACTGGCGGCATCTCAGGCTGTCCCTTTTCAACTCGCCGCTAACTCAGGATGCCGCCGACTGCCAGGGTAAAGCCAAGGTCCCGCCTCTCCCCAGACGCTGCTAGAATTCTCCAACCCACCCGCTCTCAAGCTCCAGCCTCTGTTCTCGCTGTGCCTGCAGCCCGAACACCTTTCCCCGTTTTGCTGACCAACTCTGACTCAGCTCCCAGACCTAACTTCTCCCGGTCCGCCTTTCTCTCCTCCGCCCACTCAGAGCTCCTGGAGTAACCGCCTCACCCTGCGGTTTCTGCACGGACCAAAACCAGCAAGCGCTTGCCTTACTCCTCCATCATGCATCTTATCGAGTCCCCAGTATTCAGTGTGGTCTTTCAGTTATTAGACACAACACGCACTCCTGCAACATGTCCACATGGTTCGGAAATCAAAGTCTCACTCTGTCTTAGTTGCTCTCCTTGCTGAGACAGAGTATCCCCGCCCCCAGCCCCGCAATCCTCCCAGGTCAAACCAGACCCCACCTCTACCAGCAGGTCAGCTAAATAAGCCCTGACCAGATGCCCCACTTCTGAGCTTCGGGGGGTGTGTCCAGCTATAAACTTAAACACCCTCTCTGACCCTATTGGTCATCCCCCCTTCCTGGGTCATCCTGGCTAAAAGTTTCAGTGTTGTTTTATCCTTATGTGTTTGTACATTCAACAGATTTGGTGTTCCGGAGCTCTTAACTGACTTCCCCTATGTGACATTTAGGTCCTTTCTCATTTGTTACTGCTACAAATAATACTGAATACGAAGGAGATGTTTCTGTAGGTAGAGTCTGATTGCTTGGAGTTACTGGCGAACAGTATGCACCAAAGTTTTGTTGTTTAGGAGGAGTCTTGCGATGTTGGCCAGGCTGGTCCCGGACTCCTGGACTCAAGGGATTTTCCTGCCTCAGCCTCCTCAGTGCTGGAACTACAGGTGAAAGCTAATGTGCCTAGCTTGCCTTGACATTTCTTTAGTGGACAGTGCCATACTGTTTTCAGCAGATTGGACTGGTTCCCCTCCCAGCCACTATTGTGCAAAAGTCTGTCTCCCTCCCTTGACAACAGGGCCTGGGACTTACTGGTCACCATGTTCCTGGGACACAGTAGGCTTTGTAAATGCTCGCTGAATGACTCTGTGGCTTACCAAACCCTGGCTTTCTTTTTATCCTCCAAAGCAGAAGCCTTCTTGTTCTGAAGAATCTGTGACGTCAACTGCAAGACTAGGAGACCTTGGCCTCTCCAGGAGACTCTTCAAACCATGAAGAATCCCGGAGTCCCAGGCTCTGTCTTTGTTAGTAGCGGGTGTGAAGTTTTTGTCTTTAGAGCTGGCGTGGAGGATCTGGGTTACCATGGCAACCCTGAAGCAGGGCAGCCTCTTCCCTTCCCTCCATTTTGAGAGCCCTGGTTGCCATAACAACCAATAGGCGCACTCCTCTTAGGGCCTCCAGCTTCCTAGGTCTTGGCAACCCTGATGTCACTTGACCTGTCATGCCCCTTGGGGTCCTCTGGAGCCAGGTGAGACAGCCGTGTGGCCACCATGGAAGGGGGAGGTCCAGGCTCAGGAAGAGAGAAGTCTCACCCTTCCAAGCCCAGGAGGGGCCCTGTTGCCTGGTGACCAGAGGGGGAGAAAATTCCCAGGGGTCACGGGGTCCTTGGGGGACCTAGAAGGCACAGGGTTGGAGTGACCAAGTGTTTCTCCTCAGCACATCCCACCTAGATGACCGCCATTGCTGCTGGAACTCCCTGGGAAAGCAGAGGCTGGATGAGGGAGGCTCCCAGGCCTCTTCAGAATGCCCAGAATATACCGGGTGGGACACATGGGCGCTCGGCAGCATCATGGAATCTTCTGTGGCCAAAGGAAAGCAGGATGCCTGAGGATTCTGTTGACACTTGGAAAACTCTGCTACTGGGAAGGCAGGATGAGGGTGGGCACTGCTGCAGCTGTGTGATGCCAATGTGGGCTTCTCAGACCCAACCGGGTGGACGGTGACGGAAACAAAGATGGCGCCACACCCACGAACAGTCTTGCCTCTACTGCTGCGGTCCAAGCTAGACCCTTGGCATTCGAAGTAGACTCCTGCTTCTGCCCTCAAGCCCCGTTCCTGAGGTAGGGCAGACGAAATAAAGATAGGGAGAAAGGGGACGAGGAAAACTGTACTTTAAAGTGTACCTCTTTAGGGGGTGTGTGTTAGCGGGGTTTGAACCCAGGGCCTTCACACCAAGCTACATCCCCAGCCCCAGCCCTTTAATTTTTTTTTTAAATTAGTTTTGAGCCAGAGTCTTGCTAAGTTGCCCAGGCTGGGCCTGACTTTGTCATCCTCCCGCCTCAGCCTCCCAGAGTGCTGGAATTGCAGGTGTGCACCACCACAACTGGCTCCTAAAATTGTACTTTTAAGAATAGTACAATTCCGGACACAATCAAAGTTACCCAAAGCTATCTATGTCTATAATCTATCTTTTTTCTCTAGATCTAAAAAATGCAGACCCCTAACACCTGTGAACTCTGTGTTTGATGGAGCTCAGAGACGTCTATACCCCCAAATCTCATTGTGCAAGGGGAAAGGTGCCAGGGGAGAGGTCCGTGGCCTAGCGGTGGGGGCAGGATGGGGGCCAAGGAACAGTTGGTCCCCTCCAGACTCTCAGGAAGGAGCCAGCTGGAGAGCCTGTCTCCAGGTCCCCACCTCCATCCTGTGCAGCCTCCAGGAGCCGCCAGAGCTCTATTCCAGGATGCTCTGCATGGAGATGGGGTGGGGCAGCCTGCCAAGGTCCGGGGGCAGAGTCGGCCTAGGAACTGGTGAGACTCCCAGGCCCCTCCCTCCCCATCCCCGGGTATCAGGTCAGGCGTGTATCAGCACCTGCCCCTAACTCCAAAAGGACGCCGGGAGGTGTTTTCTCGAGGGAATGAATGATCCCACAGAAATGACTCGAAGATGCTCACGTCCAGAGATCTCTAGCAGAAAGGCTGCAGGGAGCAACCGACTGTTTTACAACGAAGCTCATTCAATCAACACCCGAAACTCAGAAGCGTAATGTCTCCGCCAGGCTCAGCCGTGGCCTGGTCTTCAGTAGGAACGCACACTCCAAGGACCCTACATCTAAGGTACACTTCTTGTCCCCCTCCCCAAGGAAAATATGGGCCAGGAGGAAAAAGAACAGAATAGAGGGTCAAAGGAACCACCATGATTGGCATCCTTAGTTAAAAATGTATTGCATCCATAAAGAAACAGTAGAATCTAAAAGGGGTAACTAGAGAATAGGAAAGAATTTGTGGGAGCAAACATTCTGATAGCAAGGCTGGCCTTGAACTCATGGTGAATCCTCCTGTCTCAGCCTCCCGGGTATTGGGATTACCGGTGTGCACCACCACACACTGTGGTCCCTGCACATTTTGGCAAGCCCTAACTACTTTTGCAGCTCAGGAGAAGGCTTCACTTTACCTTACCTTTATCCCAGCCCTGCACACAAAGGACCGAGCGAAACGAATTTGCTTTTTCAGTCAGTTTTCATCGCGGTAACAGAATACCTGATACAATCAGTGGGGTTACTGGAGGAAAGTTTCGGTTTGCTTTATGGTTTCAGAGGTTTCAGTTTATGCGTAGACAGCTGGCTCCATTGCTTCAGGCCAGTGAAGAAGCAGAAATATCACGGCAGAAGGACAGGGTAGTGGGAATCTGCTCACCTGCTGGCAGCCAGGAGGTGGAGGGTGAGAGGGAGAGGAGGGCTGGGGCCGAGATGTACCCTCCCAGGGCGCACTCTCGGGATGGGCCCAGCGAGGCGGTTTCTCCAGTCTCCCGGTCGTCCATTTAGTCATGAACCAACCTATCCATGGATGGAGCCATTCATTAGACCAGAGCCCTCGCCTTCCCCTCACTTCTGACGGGAACAGGAACGCTTTCACCTCTGAACGCTGAGGCCTCAGGGACCAAGCTCTCAACACGCTGTGCGGGGCGGGCTAGATCCAGACCATGGCACGCTGTAGACGGAGTATATTCTAGCAGGTTGATGCAAAGGGAGATTCTAGAAGACAAAATGAGGAAAATTACGTCAGGTATTTTGAAACAATATCTTTGACTGCAAGGATTAATGCTAAATAAGGCACCCATCTGAGTGTGAATAGATAGTTGCTGGGAAGATACCTTTGTAGACTTTTTTTTTTTTGGTGTTTTCAGCAGCCTGTGTGTAAAGCTGTGCTTCTAGTGACTCCTTCTGGAGGACTGGTTCCTGAGACTCCTCCTTGAAAACCTCCTGGCTTTATCTGTTTTGGTCAGGGATTGACAAAAGTGACTCCATCTTGATTTGACAAATTTCATCCATCTTCTAACAGCCACGTTGGGAGGGTGTATGCAATGAAACGACGCCTTTCAAAATTCTGACTGGAAATGTTTTCCCATTGAGCATTCCACACCAACCCAGACTATCGATGAAACACGAGTGGGTAACAAAGACCTTTGTAGACACAGCAAGCCTTTTATGTAGCTTGCTTCTGTGTACTTTTCTGCAGTAAACTCCCAAAGGATGTGTTCATTTAAAACCAGGGAGCCAAGAACAAAGTTGGATCCAGGATCAGGGAGCCCAACACGGGAGAGGGTTTCAGGGAATGGAATGTCTCGGGTAATGTGTTGTCACGGAGAGCGACTGTGCTAGAGAGCAGGAAGTCAGAAGGCTCTGGGGGTGATGACATCCGTCCTTGGGAAATAGATGAGCCTGACAAATCGTCTGACAAGTCCGGTCAGGTGGAAAATTATACCGAGGGCATGGAAAGCTTTTGCCAATTATCAAACAAACAAACAAACAAACAAACCCAAGTTGATGAGAGATGAAATAATATTGACTAAGAAAGATCAAAAGAAAGGGAGGAAGATCGGGTTCTACTTATTGGTCCATCCACAAAATGTGTTTACATTGTCTGAAAAGGGAAAAAGTAGAAATGGATTTTTACAAAGTTGAGATGAAATTGAGGCCAGCGAAGAGGAGGGAAGAGTTTCTCTATGTTGCTGGGAAGACGATCTCAAGGTTAAGGTGGTGACTCAGGAGATTGGAAACACAAGGGTTATTGGGAAACAGGGAGATAAACAACAGAAGGGCAGCTTTGGGGGACAAAGGCGAGGGGAGGTGGGATGGGCTGCAGGGGACAGGGGCTGCTGGTCTTAATTGGGGGGGCTCTGTGCCCCGGGGCTCCACAGCCTGGGTTCACCAACCACAGCTGGAATGTTTAAAAAAAAGCTGCCTTTATACCGAGATGTGCAGACTTTAAAATCTTGTCATTATCCCCTAACTAATACAGTGTAAGAAGTATTTGCATAGCATTTACATTGTATTATATATTATAAGTAATTTCAAGATGCTCTAACGTCTGCAGGAGGATGTAGGTTATATGCAAATACTATGCAATATTATTTAAGGGACTCACGCATCTTTGGATTTCAGTATTTGCATGGGAGCCTGGGATCAATTCCCCATGGATACTAGGGATGACTGCACTTGGCTTTTCAAAAGATTTACTGATAATATTTTGATTAAAACAAAACATAGTTTTGAAAAATAGATTGGGCTCATGCTCTCTCCTGTACGAAGGAAGATTTCCCCAACTTCCCCTGGTCCCCGATTCCTTCGTTCTGTGAGCGACCCCAGCTCGGGGGCTCATGTCCCCAGCAGTGTTCTTTAATTGACGAATAAGTAAAAAGCAAAGTTGGTTAAATTCAGAAGAAAAAAAGCAACTTTGTAGATGCTGAACTGGGGCAGCCATGTTGGCATTACAGGATATTTGTCTTTCGAAGGCTGTCCCTGTTGTTGATGGTACTTTGTTTTCACTGTTGAGCCAGGCTGGCTGGGTTGAGGTCATAAATCTAGGCAGACAGGATGGGATTTAGAGACGCTCCTGAGCTCCAGGGCTGTCTGCATCATTCCATATCTGGGGGCTGGAGGCAAGTTACTCAAAACCCACCTTCTTCTCTGAATAGTAAGGATAAGGGCAAAAATACTACGCGATCGCTGAATTGCTCAGCTTTTCCCCACTGGTACAAAATACCTGACCCTCCTACTTAATGGAAGAGAGGTTTATTTGGGCTTTCAGTTTCCAAGGGTTCAGTTCATGGTCAGTCAGTCAAGGCACAAATGTCATAGACAAGGATATGGTGGAGCGAAGCTGCTGACTTCATGGCGGCCAGGAAGAGCCTCAGAGGAAAGGACGGGGATCACACCTCTGTGACCACCCAGACACACCCAGAAGTGTGTGACTTCCAAGACAGTCAATTGACAAGTCAGCTTAACCAGCAGGGTCGCATTGCCAACCCTCAGAAAAATGTAGGTAAGGTGCCTAGCACGTGGTAAATGGTTCTTAAGTGGAGGATCATTTTATTAAGTTACAGAATGTTTAGTGATAGCAGCTCTTCCTTGACCTTACTTTCCGAATTCTTCTTATGGAAACTTCCAGATTGGCACCTCCGCCTCCCAGGCCAAGGACCCTGCTTGGGATGGGCACAGTGGGTATCAGCATAGTAGTTCAGAGCATCTGCACCCTTTCAGGGACAACTGAGGGATTCCGTTTTAGGAACTGTGCTGAGACCGTTTCAGCAGCGTTGCCTGGTTTTTAAACAAAAGATATTTAGGTGGGAACAGACTCAACTTGAGGTTTCTGTGATTTTCACACGACCTTTAAATACCCCAGATTTGTAATTTCCTTCTTTCACTAGTGAAAGATTGGATCATCTTGGAAAACAGCAACCTAATTTGATGCCGTTGCCTTGTACATCTCCTTGCTCCCCTCTGCATTTCATTGGCCCCAGCTTGCCCTGCCTCCCTGGCGGCCTCCCCCCACCCCCACTCACCAGACAGCAGGCCTTGCTGGCCCCGGGCCACCCCTCTCCTCCCCCCGCTCCTCCTCCGTGGGAACTGCCTGCTCAGAATTCGCCAGCCTCTCCAGAGGCCACAGCCTCGAAGGCTGTGCTGCAGCCCTGTCCAGCCATGCCCTCCTACCTTGGCCTCAGGTGACTAGAAGAGGTCTACTTAATTGGCTGTTACTATTTAAAAAAAACTTGTTAGTGTTCAGTGTTGGTGCTGTGATCATTTCCTGAGCCTCAGGCCTTCCTCGTCCCTAACTTTACCGCTCTCTTTCCTGACCTTTAATGTCTCAGTGGCCTTGTGTGACCGCCTCTGCCTGGGTTATTCCCTCAGCCCTCTGCCCACCCCGTTCCGGTCTCCCCTGGAGCTCCACTCTGGGGTCTGCCTGCCCGCGATGTCTGACTTTCCCACACACCTGTCCCGAGCCCCTCCCAGTCGTCCTCTCGGTCCGGTGGCAACGGAAACGCCCACGTCATTCCTCGTCCTCTCTCCTCCCTTTCTACCTCCGCCCCCTTGAGCTTTGCCCCTTGAACCGCCCCACGCCCTCTGACCTCGTCAGTCAGGGTGGCCCACACTGTCCCCCACACGTGGCCACTCCTCTGCCGTGCTGGGAACGTCTGCCAGGGCACTTTGCCAGCGTCACCCTTTTCGAAAAGGAAGGTTTTCCTGAACTGATTTTATAGTCTCTTCGAGCCCGAGGATGCTGCCCAGTACCCCGAAAGCCTTACCACAGACGGCACGTGTGACCTGACTGCTCACTGTCCTGCTGAGGACCTGCCCCACTTCTTGGGCTTACTGGTGTGTGCAGGGAGGTGGTTCTTTGAAGGGTCACAGCTCAGCCCTCTCTAGTGATCGTGAAGAGAGCTAAAGCCCTAAGAACTCAGGGCTGTGGGTGGCTTAGTGGTAGAGCACTTGTCTACCATGCCGATTAGATTGTCAGATCTGAGAGTAGCGGGGGGGAAGAGAGGCTAAATTCTCCAAATTCTTAAGAGTAGGTCAAAGACAAATCAGTGATGCTCTTGTTTCAGGGATGCATTGTTATGCCAGCAACAAAGGCTTTGTCTTTTTACCTCCTCAGGCCAAGGAGAGAGGGGAAGAACTGGACAGCTTGCTGGAGCCTGCCTCACCACCCTACCCGTGTGTGCATGTAAACTGCACCCCTTGGTGGTTTTCCTACTGTGTTACATGAAAAGGTCCACTTCTCAAAAAGTGATTTACATTGATGAAATAAAATAGCTAAGATAAAAAGATGGTGATTGAAAAGTTATTGAAATGTTAAAAAAACCCAATTTGTGACATAGGAATGCTATCTTTACCACCTTTAAGAATCATAATAATTTCAAAGAGGTACTGAACACGTTTTCTGAATTTCTCTAATATTATAGGTGATAGGAAAATATATCTATTTTGTGTTTTGTAGCCTATATTTACAATGGGAGAAAATCTAAGTTTCAGCTAGATTAGTGAGTATAAAAGTTAGTTTCTCCCCAGTCAAGTTCATGGGCTCCTGAATTCTGCCTGCAGATTCTGTGAGATTTTAACTGTGAACCCCAATGAGATCCTTCACTCCTTCTTCTTCTGGAAGCTTCCTTGACTGTCATGCTTGTCTTTGGGTTTTCCTTGGTGCTGAACAGTTACAACATGCACTCATTCAACAAACATTTATCAAGATTGCTGTAATCATGTAAGTCACTGTGTCAGATGTTGGAGGTTCATGGTAAGGGAGAAAAATCAGCAGTTTTCCAACCAGTGGAAGAGAGAGACATATTTTCATGCCAGCATAACCCCAAACATAACATGAAAGCTTCAAGTGAGGGTCTGAAGCTTCAGATGAGGGCTCGGAGGTTAACATTTCCACTTGGTGAGGAGATGGAGGAGGAAAAGTTCAGGAAGAAGATGACATTTGAACTTGGCCTCCGAGAGGAGACATAAACAACTTTTTTTTTTGGTACTGGGGAGCAAACTCGGGACCTTGTGCTTTCGAAGCAGGTGGTGAAACCACTGAGCTACATCCCCAGCCCCATGAGGAAAGGATAGCTCTTGCTGGTATTTTAATCTTCCACAAGTGGTTGATGTCTCAGTTTAATAAGTTTTCAACTTTGCCATGGTGTGGAAGACTACCTGGAAACCATTCCATTTTTCAGTATCCAATGGATTCTCGAGTCACGGCTGGCCTGACATATGAACAACTTGGGTTATGACCAGAACTTTACTTTTAACTTATGAACAAGGTCTTGAGTTATGACCCAAATGCCAGCCACTTGTGCTTCCAGATGGCCTCAGATACAGATTTAACTCTTCAAGAGCTCTGGAAGGAACATGACAATGTACTCTCCTGTGTGGGGTTCATTGAGAAATCCTGGGCCAGTGTCTCTAAGGACACCAAGATCTGCCTATGTGCAGGAGAGAGACTCTGAAGGTTGTGCCGTGGAGCCTGAGCTTTCAATTCAACCTCAAGAACAAATTGAGTTCATGAGCCAAGGGTCCAATGAATCACATGGATATTCGACACTGTACTATGAAGTAGGCTTTGTGTTAGGGGGTTGAGACCAGCTGCAGACTAATTAAGTGTTCTGAGCATGCTGCTGGCAGGCTAGATGATGTTTAGCTATGATGTTTGGGGACACTGGGAAGGCAGGGCCAGATCACTGTGCTCGTTCTCTACACCCAGGCTGAAGAGGGAGGCAAGAGACCAGGAAGTAGAGTGCTCAGCCCCATTTCAAATCTTTACTGCTGCCTTTGAGGAAGGAATTAATTATTTAGACAACAAAGATCAATACATGTATTTGTGAGGTGCACATGAGTGCTGCTGTTGGTATACATGATGAAGGAAATTTTAGCCTGGGCTTATTTGGTAATAATAGTGTGTCACAATCTCCTGTTATCTTATAAAACACTCAAGGAAGAACTGAGTCCAACCCATCCTTTGGCAGCAAATTTTTTCTTTGTAATATTGGTAACTTTTGCTGCTTTTTGTTTAAGTGTTTACCTCTTCCCGATGTCTAGACAAGCAGTAGTCACTTGCTTTCTTGGTAAAAAAAAATTTTTTTTTTGCAAAGCACACACATGGGCATGGCAAACTGTACAAGAGGTGGCCAGAGGCTTCCAGGACTTTATCTGCTTGGAAATGTTCCTGGCCATGATTGCTCTTATGAGCATTTTCCTGACTTTCTCATGTCTGAGAAGCAGAAGGCTTGTGCTCTGAGTCCTTTCTGGCCATGTGGGATTTTTTGGATATTACAGACATTTTACAGATGTAAGGCATATTAGACAATTAGGGGAAAGCCAGTGAAAACTTTTTATTCCTCAGAATCAAGATCAGAATGAACATACAAGTTTATCATCATCATGATGCAATTTCCATTGACTGTTCCAGCCGTCTTCACCCATGGGTCACTAGCCAGGGTTTGGGACATGCTGTGACTCCTCAGACTATGTACACTACCAGCAGCACTTCTGTTGAGTAACTTCATGACATTACAAGAGAGGAAAAAATAACATTTACGTAAATCTGCCGGCTCTGGACAGTGTGCGAGAGCAAACCATGTTACTTCTAAGTTATTTTATTACCTGTATCCCATGGATCGGGATATTGTGCTTGGGACAAGCCATAAGAATAGAGATTCCATAATGATAGGCAGAAAAGTCAGGCATGTATCTGAGTTTTGTATATCATCTTCTGTCCAAATTTCCTAGACTTATTTTCTTTAAAGTGCCTCATACTCACATGGCAGAAAATGACTCTAAAATGCTGTAGAGGTACATGATCCCAACAATGAATGTAACTGTACTGTATCCCTAAAATGTACCAATAAACTCAATAAAATTAAAAAAAAGACTCTAAAATGCTTCTGATGCTACATTGCTTTATCAAAAAAAGGGACATAAAGAAAAAAAATGCTTCCTACCATGTTGCATGAGTATAATGCTCTGGATAGAAAGCATAATTCAGATGCATGACTTTACTGGAACTTAAAAATAACCACGTGTCATAAACGATTACCTAATACTTATTTCTCATATAAGAGGTTAGCACTTATTTTATGCAAAAAAGAAAAAGCTGTGATGTCTGGTAGGTTAAGGATATCCAATACATTCTGAGTTAGGATATTTTCAATTTATAATGGGTTCAGCTGGACGTAAGCCCATGGTAAGTCAAGGAGTGTCTGTAAATATGAAGCTCCTAGAAGGTAGGGATCAAATCTTAAAAGTCTTTTGTATGTCCCAGAACCTCCAACAGGACTGGGCAAGGGCACATAATATGTGCTTGTTCATTTTGTTTAAAATATAAGCTCCGTGTATCAGCTAGTTACTGTCATGTAACAAACAATCCCCCAATCCAGGTGCTTTAAACAACAACCTGTTATTTCTTAGGGGTCTATGGGAAGTGTGGACCCAGACCAAGACTGGCTGCTCCTGGTTGGGCTCTGTGATTACTGGCAGGTTGGCCAGAGGATAGCTGGCCTAGGCTGGGATACTTAACTCTGTCCTCTATATCCTTTTTTAAATTGTGATTGTTTTGAGCTTGCTACTGGCCCATTGGCCAAAACAAATCATGGTCCCAAGGTGGAGTCAGTGTGGGAGGACACTACCCAAGGGCAAGGATATGAGGAAGACATAAGAAATATGTGGCCATTAACGTAATCAATCTATCATAGTCTTCACAATTAAACAATCAGCCTCAAATCCTGTGTAGAATGGGACGTAAATCAATAGATAAATGCATAAATAAAAGAGTTATAAGATAGGATGGCAATTTATAAAGGCAGCCATTGAAGGGGCCTCTCCTGTGGGCTACATCCTAAACATTTGAAGAATGTTGTCTGCAGTGGCCGGCCATCCTTTAGTTATTATTTTTTAACGGGAATGCAAACCCTTTGGCTTGTCCTTTCATGTCTGATGTTCCATCAGTTAAGCATTCCACACAATTTTTCATAGAGATGTTTTCTTTCCCCCCGAGGACTTCTGCAACAGTCCAGAATACACTTTCCCTGGTACTTGACTCTTAAATTGCTATAAATATCAGGCATTCTGTCAGCAGCTCAGGGTGATGGCTCAGGTTTCCTCAACCAACAGCGTTCGGAACTCTGCCTTGAGTTCTGTCGATGAGAGGCAGTGGCAGGGCAGGAAAAGAGAAGAGCAAAATGCAGGCCAGAAAATGTGTTTCCCACTAGCTGGGCAAAGCATGGATGTGAGGGGGAGGCACCATCAAGGCGTGAATGCCACCATGGGGACTCCAGATAACACTGACATATGAATTTGGAGGTTTAAATTTCTGACACACACAACTTTTTGGGGACATAGTCATACCATAGCACAAGGTAAATGCTCAGTGAGTTTTCAGTGTTCTTGCATTAAAAAAAAAATCAGTATGCAGTTGCCAAGTTGGCATATGGTTCTCCATGAGTTGGAAAAGAGCACCCGGGAAGCCTGCCCTCCATTTGTAGCCTTGGTCCTAACTGGAGAGCCATGTGAGCCTCAGTTTCTTCATCTGCCAATAGAATGATTAATATTGGCAGAATGATTAATATTGGACTCAACTCACAGCCTCGTTTCGATGACTACGTGCCATATTGCACAGAAAGCTCCTTTGTAAAAATAATTTTAAATCTCCCTCAACAAATACTGTATGATCGCACTTATCAGTAGCATCTAAGGATGTTCCCCTTAGAAGCAGAGAATAGTGTTATTGGCACCAGGGGCTAGGGTGGGGGTGAGGGATGCAGGGTTGCTGGTCAGAGACATGCAGTTTCAGTTCTGTTGGACGAATGAGTTCTGGAGAGTTAATGTACAGCATGATGATAGCAGTTGACAATACTGTATCAAATACTTCAGTGTCCCCAAACTTTTCGGCACTAGGGACTATTTTCCAAGAAGATGTTTTTTCTAAGGACCCAGTGGGGGGTACGTATTTCATTTATTGTGCACTTTAATTTTTATTACATTAGATTCTTACGAGGAGCACACAACTTAGATCGCTCGCATGCGCAGTTCCCAGTAGGGTTTGAGCTCCTATGAGAATCCAATGCTGCCGCTGATCTGACAGGGGCTGGAGCTCAGGCCATTGTGTGAGCCATGGCAGAGGCTGCAGGTATAGAAGAAGCTTTGCTCACCTCCTGCTGTGTGGGCTGGTAGCAGTCAGTCGCCAAGAATCGAGGATCCCCGATAAATGACTAAGAGAGTAGATTATGATTGTTCTTATTTATGGAAGTCACTATGTGAGGTGTTAGATATGTTATCGTAATTGTGGCAAACAGTTCACAGTGCATACGCATAACAAAACCACATCGTGCACCTTAAATGTGTCTGATTTTTGTCAGTTACATCTCAGCAAAGGTAGGGAGAAAAGATGCTGCGTAGTCTCCTGGCTGCTCCGTGTTCCTGAGACCTCCGCATTTCTGGACAGTTATTCTTTGGTCTCCCATTTTTTTCTGTGTCCCTTGAGTTCCACGGTGCTGCCCGACCAAACCCATCTCTACACACAGCTGATCAGATGCACTTTAAGGCCTACCGTCTCCAGCCTCTCTATGTGGCTCAGAACTTTCTAGAAGTTCATCACCTAGCCTTGCGATTCCACGTGGAGTACTCTGCTTTAACACGTAGGGGTTTTCTTCCAAATCTTCCCCAATTGACGCAGAGCGTGTGATTTGAGTATCTGGTTCTATGTATGCTTAAGGTGGCCATATTCTCCAGTGAGAACACATCCTCTTAAAAGAGTGCTTCTAATCCAGGAAAAATAAAGACAAAAAAAAAAAAATCCCCTTGAAAACACTTGGGTAATGCTATAGTTGTGTGTCCCTGAGGGAAGAGACCTCACAGAGCGCTGCTTCCATTGCCAGTGGTGAAGGGATTAGAATTACAGGAGCGTTCGCACCCAGATGTTGCCGCTGCAGACTCAAGGTGCTCTTTTAACTGGGACTTGAGCCTTTCTTGAAATAGACAGGAATTCTATAAACATGACATTGTGCCTGATTCATCGCTTAAACTCGGCTGCTGACTCATCCTCTCCTTGGTAGGTTCTTTAACGGTAACTTTAATTACATCATGTACTTATTGTTTTTCTCTCCCCTTGATTAATTCTCTTTCAACAACTCTTGTTTATCGTCTTGGTGATTGGGCTGGCTCACCTCTAAGACTTGTGTAAAATTTTCTGGACTGTAGAGACAGGAACTGAAGTCTTCATGCGTCTCTGTTAATGTGTTCACACCTGCCCCAGGCTTGTGTAC